AAGCTGTATAGAAAGTAGCTATATACATTGTCTTTGACCAGGTCTATACACTGAAGCTCGTATCAAAATGTTAACAGGACTTGTCGTTATATATTTGTAATACACTATTATTAAGAACTGAATTACATCACCCTATAGAGGCGATCAGTAGGTTTTGATAATTAGCTGCAACTAATATTCATATCAGTCCCTGTGATCGCAATAGTGATAAACAGTAATGCCATTATCCTCTGTGCATGTAAATTGATTCGCGGTTATTATATTTGGAAACACACACAAATGAAGTATGGTTTTGTTCAATTTAAGGTAAAAAAGGTCCATACCATGCATGGCATACACAAAATTAACACCTGAGCAATTAAATATTTTGAATTTTGCAACAAGTGGACATAATGTTTGTATATTCGGCAAAGGTGGTGTTGGAAAATCAACTCTGGTACATGAGATTAGATCCAAAATGCATGAAAAAGGAAATAAATTTCAGATTGTCAGCGCTAGTGGCATAGCGTGCGAGGGATACAACGGGTTGGCAAAAACTGTCCATTTTAACTACGGTTAACAAACAGCGGAGTTGCCGCAAAACGAGTTAATAAAGAGTCGCCTTGAGCGTGGGAACATAATCGAACAGATTAGGGACATTGACGTGCTAATTTGACGAAATTTCAAGTCAACCCGACGTCTATTTGACCTGGTTAACATGCTACATTATTGAAGTTAATGAGTTCACGGCAACAGGTATATAATCAATTATCGCTACTCTGGTTTTAATAAATGAAAGTAATCACCACACAAAGATTAACTTTCACGACCCACCGTTTCGACACTCCGGTCTAGTGTCTTCATCAGGGGTGATCTGATGTTGAAACTTGGTCCTTATATACTCTCAAAATGACGTCATCTTTCAATCAGATGTAAATATTCTTTTGGCAAATAGCTACCGTCATCCCTATTTAGGGCACAAAGACTCGCATTAATATGCCAGGCTAACAAACAACGCCTTTGTCCATAACGACCATTAGTGGTAATGACTTTTGAATCGTTCCACCCAATGTTATGGTTAGTTTGACACACGTGTTCCGCCAAGGCTGATTTTGAACTGTCTAAGTTCGAAACGGGATGGAAGGGATGACGGAAGCTATTTGCCAAAAGTATACTTACATTTGATTGATAGATGACGTCATTTTGAGAGTATATAAGGAACCGAGTTTCAACATCAGATCACCCCTGATGAAGACACTAGACCGAAGCGTTGAAACGTTGGGTCGTGAAAGTTAATTTTTGTGTGGTGATTACTTTTATTTATTAAAACCAGAGTCGCGATAATTACGATTGCTTCATTATGAATTATCAAGCAATTCATTTCCATTTGGCGGCCTTCAGGTTATATTAGTGGGAGATTTTTGGAACTGAAGCTAAATAAGAGTATGATGGACAATGGAGATCCAGTATATGAATCGAAGTTGTTTGAAGAAGCTTTTCCCTATAGGTTCGAGCCAGAGGAGGTTGGACAGCTGTCACGTGAATTTCTCGACCAATGAGATTGCGCTATTTTCCAAGCGTGCTTGCGAAGATTTTGAGCGAGAAAATTTACATAAGACGGAGAAACATAAAAATATTGAGTATATTTTTTAAAGGTTACTGATTAAAACGCATATTTTTTGAAAAAAGATTCATTGGACTGGCGATATCTGTCGAGATTATCGAGGTAAGCGTTACTTTTTAAGTCGATTTTTATAACTGAAGTTGGTCGGTGTAATATTGCTTGTTTCTTACGCTTTTTCTAGGTATCTTTCCATATCCTTTACATAACTAGATCTCCCTCAATTAATGTCAATCAATCCCCTAATCAATATCAAGTCTATATTTAGCTATTACTGTCCGTGCCTATATATATATATACATTACATCTCTCCCTTTGTTTAATGAATTATCAAGTTTGGGTTTATTGCATTTCCAAAAAGTTCTCTCTGTCTACGCTGCCTTGTTGACCTTCTCACCACTGGTTCTGGCGTTGGTTCATCCGCTGCTCGTTCGATGAGTGCATTTCCTGTCGGTGCGTTCCAATCATCTTCATCTTCGGATTCCTTTGCGGCGTCTGGTATCTTCTTAAAGAACGATACATTTCTTGTCACCTTATGTCTTTGGTTTTCAGCTACTATTGTCACTCCTTTACGTTCAAGCACCGTGTAAGGAGTTGGTTCGAACTTGGTTGTAAATTTGTTTTTCTTTTTCTGTCTAAGAATGACTGTGTCTCCCACTTGTATCTCTGACGGCGCCACTCTCCTTCGTTTGTTTGCGTATTCTCTCCCTTTGTCTTTGGCATTGGAGTCATTCGATTTGGCTTCTTTATGTCTGTTTAGTACTTTAGCTTTTGGGTTCAACATGGGTAAGACTCCTCTGACAGGCCGATTAAAGAGAAGCTGAGCGGGCGGTATGTTGGTAGAACAATGGGGTGTGGTGCGATAGCTTAACAGGAACCTCGAAAGTTCTTGGACCCAGTTACGATGTTCTGAACGAGCGGTCTTGATTGCTTTTGCTAAAGGTTTCATAAAAGCTTCTGCTTCTGAGTTACCTTGTGGCCATTCAGGTGTTGATGTCTCATGTTCTACGCCAATCTTTGTTAAATAATCTTTGAATTCTTTACTATTGAAAGGAGGACCGTTATCCGTCTTTATTTTCAGTGGAATTCCATGCCGCGCGAAGATAGCATCGGTTTTTGGTATAAGTGCTTTAGCAGATGTACTTGTGATGATTTCAGCCTCCGGGTATCTTGAGTATTTATCAATTAACACTATGATATACTGTCCGGTGGGAAGCGGGCCGTAGAAATCTGCATGTACAGTTTGCCAAGGACCGTCCGGCGTTTCTGGAGTTAGTAAAGGCTGGGGTGGATCGGTTGGACCATTAATTTGGCACGGAAAGCAGGTATCGATCTCTTCTTTTACAGCTTTATCAATGTTAGGGAACCAGGCATACTGACGTAACAAGGCTTTTGTTTTGACAAGTCCTTGATGACCGCTGTGGGCAAGTTTTACTATCTTCGCTTGTAGAGTTGATGGTATTATAATACGTGTTCCTCGGAGGATTACACCATTTGTATGGTCCACTGTTATTTCATCTTTGACGTTTATGAATGGTTTTACATGACTGCTGCCCCAGTTACCAGACTCAACTGCTTCTCTTACTGCATTGAGACTGGGATCCTTTTCCGTATGTTCCTTGATAACTTGTATTGGAATTGTGGTTTGCGCGGCATTAGTCGAGATGAAGTTTATGTATTCTTCAGCAAGATTGTGTTTTGGTATCTTCGATTGCGGATGTCGTGACAGGAAATCTGCTGGGTTAACACTGCCTGGTTTGTAGATAACATTGAAATGGTATTGCTGAAGTCTTAGAAACCAACGTTCTATTCTAGCTGGAGGTTTGGACCGAGGATTGTTGTAGATCAACTGTAATGGCTTGTGATCAGTAATTAGGTTGAAAGGTGCACCGAACAGGTAAAGGTGAAAATGTTCAATGCCCCACACGATCGCGAGAGCTTCCCTCTCGGTTTGTGAGTACCGTTGTTCTACTGGGGATAATGCTCGGCTGGCATAAGCGATAGTGTTGTCTTCGTTTGTTTTTGGATCCTTTTGCGTCAATATGGCAGATAAACCAACGGGACTTGCATCCACCAGGACTGAGGTTTCTTTGGATGTATCGAAATGGCTCATAACTGGACTGTTAGTCAGAGCACTCTTTATGTCTTCATATGCTTTCTGGTGTATTGTCGTCCATGTAAAACGAGCGTTTTTTTGGGTCAACTTTCTGAGTGGCTCTGTAATGGTCGCGTAGTTTTTGATGAACTTAGCGCTGTAGTTAGCCATTCCTAATAGACTTCTCACTTCACCGACTGTTGTTGGTGGTTTTGTATTGGCGAAAGCGTCCACTTTCTTGGGGTCTGGGCTAACACCTTTTTCTGTGAATACCAGTCCAAAGAATTCAAGATTCTTTTTGAGGAATTTGCACTTTTGTAGATTGAGAGTCAGGTTACTCTCTTGCAGACGTGTAAGTACTTCTTCTAATGCTTGGTCATGTTCCTGTCGAGTATTTCCAAACACGATGATGTCATCTGCGATGTTTTTAGCTCCTTGAATTCCTTGTAATGTCTCCTGTAGGGTGTTTGGAAGAGTTCCGCTGCAGCATTTGTGCCGTAGTTTAATCTTTTATAGCGATATAAACCGAGATGAGTGGAGAAAGTTGTTATTCCCGAGATGCTGGGTTCAGCTCCAGTTGATGGTAGGCTTGAGTTAGGTCAAGTTTTGAGAAAAACCGAGCTCCGTTAAGCTCAATAGAGACAGCTTCTAGAGTGGGTATGGGATGTCTAGTTCTCTGAATAGCTGTATTTGCTACTCGCATATCTACGCACAATCGAATCTTATCGTCACGCTTTGGGACGACGACGACTGGGGAAACCCACTCCGTTGAAATTCCTTCGGGTATTCTCTCAATGATGTCATCCTGTTCTAATCTGCGTATTTCATCTTCAATTTTTCCGCGTAAATGGAACGGTGCTCGGCGCTGCGGTTGTGCAACTGGTGAAACGGTTTCATCGATAACTAATTCGATTTGTTTGTTCTTTAGTTTCCCAAGTCCACAGAACACAGGGCCATGTTTATCTAGGATGCGTGCGAGGTTTTTATCGCTCGTTGTTGGTGTGATTTTTGAACGTTCTGTTTCCTTGTTTATCTGATTTAAATGGAGACTTACGAGTCCAAGTTCTTGTGCAGTTTCAGAACTAAGTAAACAACCGCCGTCGTCAGAAGTAACAAATATGGTAGCTACCGTGAATTTGTGTTTCGACTCTGCTAAAACGCGGAATTTTCCTTCCATCTTCACAGGTGTTGTGGAATTGAAGGGATATGCTTTCACGGATGTTGGCTGAAGTCGGATATCTCGCAGTTGTTGGAACGTGTGTTTATCGATTACATTTATGCTTGACCCCGTATCAATGGTCATTTTTACTCTTTGTCCATTGAGAGCAATTGACGCTTGCGGGTGTTTTGTTTGTTGTTGACCGCGTAACAATATTCTGGACCACTACTGTCGCTGCTAGTGTTGTCCTGGAGGTCTGTGTTAACTGGTCGTAGGTCTTCGCGTGGTTTACCAGTTTGTCTATTTTCTCTCGTGTTGCTACTGCGGCACTGGCTAGCAAAATGGTTTAATTTACCACAATTGGCACATGTCTTGTTTTTGGCAGGGCACGGTTTGTTGGTGTGAGGGTAGCTGCCACCACAGTAAAAACATGTCTTATTGGATGTCTTGTGTTTTGTTTCTTTCGCGGTTGGCGTTTTAACTGCTTGAATATTGCAGCTGTCTAAATGTCCTTCAATGTCAGCTGCATGCGTCTTGCTTATTTCTTCCCGCCTGGCTGCGAGCAAAAGATCTTTTAAAACATACTTGGGGTCTCGCAACGCTTGTTTACGCACGCGACTTGACTTTCCTCCAATAACAATTTGTACCATAATTTCGAACTCTACATCTGAAAACTCACAGTTTTTTGACAGTGTTCGTAGACGCGTGTGGTATTGATCTATCGTTTCCGTGTCGCTCTGTTTTGCTTGTCGAAATTTGTAGACTTCGTATAATCGATTTTTTTGAGGCTCGAAGTATTCGGTGAGAAGTTCCGTCGCTTTATCGAAGTCGTCGTCGTTACCAGGGTCTGGAAAGTGTCGAAAGATTTCCCGTACTCGCGGTCCTGCTTGGTATAAAAGTAATGCTCGTTGGCGTGTCTTGTTTGTAATGTTGCTCGCCGTTAGAAATGTTTTGAAATCTGCCAACCAAGTACGCCATTTAGCCGCTATATTTCCTCCCGCGTCAGCATCAGGGTCAAACGGTGGCATAGGCGTGAGATATGTCGCCATTATAATATGTTTTAATCACTTGTTTTAGTCTTCGTCGCCAATGTAATATTGCTTGTTTCTTACGCTTTTTCTAGGTATCTTTCCATATCCTTTACATAACTAGATCTCCCTCAATTAATGTCAATCAATCCCCTAATCAATATCAAGTCTATATTTAGCTATTACTGTCCGTGCCTATATATATATATACATTACAGTCGGGTCGTTCCGAAGTGATGAGTCATGTGCTTGTCTGTTTACAATTTTCAAAGTTGAAAATCTCGAATTCCTGTGGTTCGATTTTTGAGATTCTTTGTAAGAATGAAGTTAAGTATGTAAAAAAAAAATCGGCTGGATCGACCCCTTGCGACCCCACACCATTTCCGAGATATCGGGCTTTGAATTTACCACTCTTGTTTTGAGATGTTCAAAATAGCGCATTTCGGGTCAATGGGATATTTCCCTTTCAAATATTGTTTAACTACATAATTTGTAATATTAATGTAAATTTTATTTGTATTCATGGTTTAACTTCCTTAGTTATTAACATTTAGACGGGAAAATAGAATTTTTTTTGTATTTTATATAGATTTCCATTTTTGGCAGTGACGACTCCTATGCTCATTCGCTAACGCCTAGCGTTTCGGTAAGTGCACATAGCGCAATTTCGGGGTTCAATAGAATATTTTTCTCTTTTGTGTAGGTCAGTATGGCTGAGGCCCAAAAAAGGGTACACGATCCTCCAACTGGGCAAACCCCTGGAAAAAGGCAACCAAAACTGAGATCTACATCTGGAAAGTTTTTGAAGAGATCCCTGTTGCAATCTTTTAACATACCCTCTAGTAGTGGGGAAGAACGTCTAGATCGTGTCTGTATTTCTAGGCGAGCTGACCCTGGAGTATTTGTTGCCAACAGAGCTGTAATCCCACAACGTGGTCAATTGAGTGTTAGATCAGCACATTTCAAACAACCAGAAGGCTTACCACCACCACCACCTTCACAAAATTGATAAATATGAAACATATTGTGTGATTATATGTTTTCACTTCTTCAGTAAAATAAACTGACATTTTATATTGGTTCTGTTCTTTAGATGCTTGTTGATGTTTACAGTTAGTGTGAGTTAAGATCTGCATTACTAAGCCATTGTGTGTTAGAACTGGCAATATTTATGTATATTAGGTTGATTGAAAAGCTAAAGGCATGAACACCTTATCTAGTACAATTGATCTTCAAGTTTGCATGAATTGTAAATGCTATTAGCATAGAAACAATAACCAATGGTGTGTGTATGCAGGTTTTTACTTTTTTGAACATCATGTAAATATATGTATAAATGCAAATCTTGGCTGTTTTGTCAAGGCAATTTTACTTACAATATTTTATAACCATCATAAAATTTGATGAGTTTATTTATTTGTTCATCAATAAATACAGATTTACATATTTATACCATGTATTGTATGAATATTTTTCTAATTTTCTTAATATTGCAAGGGTTTGTATGAAATATCACATGACAGTGAAGTGCTTTGGTTTAGACAATAGGTTTTGAGGATATAAAATAGAAAGCCTGGTTTCCATACAACATTGTCAGGGTGTTGTGTTAACCATTAAGAAAAATATCTATCATTAGTTATTATGCAACAACTTGATTGTCATATGGAAACCAGACTAAAAACAAGTTGATGGCAAAAATGCTGGAAAAAATCTACATAGGTTAGCCAATGGAAATAATTGCAGAAATTCACAACTTGCAAACCCTGGTTCTTATGAAAATATGTCAACGTACACTCATACTAGCCCTTACAATCTGACCTTCCCATTCACCACGCCTCTTTATCCAGATTTTTGGATAAAATCCTATTTTTAAAAAGTTAACCCCGAAACTTGATGTGTTCAACATAGACGTCTAGTATATCTCCTGCTGCAATCAGTGGATGTAAATACTTGCAATGTTCAGAAGCTATATATCCAACATTTTCCCATTGAGTTCCATAATGAAGATCAATAGCAATTGCATTTTGGTCCCGAGGATTCTCCGGCTCTGGTCTTAGTCGAACATTTACTGATTCATTATATTCAAGGGCAAGATATGCCTGTTCCAGATGATGTTGGTAACTTTGTTCATGAGCAGCTCCAATGCACTTGAATGGTAGAGCATGAGTGATTTCTTCCTCATCACTTTCAACTTCTTCACTTTCATCTTCTTCACTGTCCTCATTACTAATTTGCTCATTGACAGTTTCATTTCTTTTACTTTGTTCATCCCCATTCTCCTCTCCAGCATTTTCTAGTTCAGCTAAATGCTCAAGTAGATCTCTTTCTATAAAGCAAAACAAAAAAATGCCCGTCTAATACTGTTATGTCTATAAATAAAAACTCACTAGTAATTTCTAAAAATAGAATTGAACGACTCTGAGATTAATTTTTACTTTAAGCATGAAACCATTTATAACAAAGCATGTGTAAAGAAAACATTCGTAAACAGAAATGAACTATCAAAACTTTATACAGTAACTATACCTTCAGATTCATCAGAGAACCAATGATGATCATCAATGTCTCTATTTTCTGTTCTTTCATGACCAAAATCGTTTTCGTTACTTTCACTTGGTTCTTGAGAGGCTTGAGAGCTCCCTGATTCAGATGTGTTATCTAAAGGAGGTAGAAGTACTTTCTGAGTGGGATAAAAGTTTGAACAATTGCAACTTACTGCGTTGATATTAAGCAACGGAGTTTCTTCGATGTCATGCGCTCGTATTTTCTGTCAATACACGATCCACATCAAAATCCCAAATTAAAAGCATTCTCTCCGCTTTACAATGAATAAATTCATCAGGGATAGTACCAAACTAAAAAATAGTTTCAGTTAAATTTTACTACACAAATCAAGCCTTAAAAGTTAATAAAAAATATTAAAAAATGAGGTGTTGACAAGTACTTTATACTAACCTCAAATGTAGTACTTGCTTTAACGTTGATGACACAAGGAGATTTAAGGCCATTCAACTTCGAAAGCAGTGCTTCGGTGTTTGGTATAATACAAAGTCTTCTTTCAGACGGAGTATTATGAAAGGCGAAATGGCAGCAAAGCCCATGCAGCTTAAAAAACGGTAAACTCGGTACAGTAAAAGATAAGTCGTAATGCGGATCGCAACAATACATATACATCATAGTATTTTGCACTATCGCAGCTTGAAAATCCTGTCTTTCGAAAGCATCCATTTTTCCTATACTCGCAGAGCTCTTCACATCACGACAGTCAAAACGTCAAATGGAGCGTTCGCATAATTGAGCGCTCAATATCCATCATGCTTTGCGGCCTGCTGTCCAACCTCCTCTGGGTTCGAGCTGACCCAAATCTTGCGGCAAGACGAAGCGGAAGTAAAGAAGCATTGGATATTTTAAGAAGCTGCAGATGCGACGACGAAACTGAGCAATACTTTTCCGATTTATCGAGAATGTTCTCCTGCGTACCAGAGAGTCCAGAAGAATCTCCATTCATATTTATTTCAAGAGGCTTCCAGTCGAAGTGCATAATACCACTATTTTGGCTTCTCTCTCTGGGCCGAAGTTAACCTTTAAAAGTTTAGATACGGTTGTGCTAAATCCCTCAACAGGACGATAGGTGCAATTCTTTGTTTAAAACCAAGATGTAAAGTCATACTACTATACAATATAAGTAACCACTTCCGAAATGGAACTTGGTGTTCAGGAAGATGAAGGTGGTAAATTTTCCAAAAGTTGGCTTGGTTACAATACCTGGACAACCATAAGGTATCCGGTATGGTACTGATTGACTACCATAAAGCGTTTGATATGGTTGACCATGAACTTTTGTTACAGAAGCTAGAGGTCTATGGTATTGTTAACCACGAACTGCTATGGTGTCAGTCTTACTTACTAAATAGGAAGCAAGTTGTTCGTTTGGGTGGGAAAATGTCGAGTAAGGTAGTTATGAAATACGGGGTCCCTCAAGGCAGTATTTTGGGTCCGTTGTTCTTCATATTATTCATCAATGATCTACCACTACATGTAACTTCACAGCTTGATCTTTACGCAGATGACACCACAATCATAGACTCTTCTGACTTCAGTAACATATCAAGTTTAGAATGTATTCTAAAAGCTTACTCTCACTCACACTCAATGAGTAGAGGTTCATTACTCGAAAGTGCAACTCTGTACTTACTGAGTATTCTTTCACTCTCAATCAGTGGAAAGTTACACTTGCCCTCGGACCATTCACAAACGGCACTCACTCTCGAAGTAGAGGCCGAGTTTGAGTGGAGTGTGAGTGTAGGTCATACCTCCCTTGAACCACACTCAAACAAAGTTGTGATAAACAACATGGCGAATCTCATTACCAGAAATTTGCGACATGATAATTTGCATGTATACTAATTTGCATTTAACTTTCAGCATAATGGCCTTCAACATTTACTATAAAATATATATAGTAAATATACAAAACTTAAAAATGCCATTGACCTAGACCGCGTATAAACTTTTCTGTACGGCTCGGATTTTCACTGCAATCACTTTAAAAAATATTATCAGTCTTATCAGGAACTTGAACAATACGAAGGCTATATACACATTTGTTCACAATCAGTTGGCCGAACGTAGAAATACCTAAGGTAAGTAATTCGATCATTAAAACGTTGGGAAACGGCTGTTCTATTGACCCAGAGGTCGGCAAACAGTGGGCAAGGTCTAGGGCAACGACATTTTAAGGTTTTGTATATTTACTATATGTATTTAATAGTAAAAGTTGAAGGCAATTATGCTGAAAGTTAAATGCAAATTAGTATAAAATGTATTTATTATTAGATAATAAAGGAAGTTAATGTTATACGGGTCTTCGTATCGTAGTGTCGCGGGTCCTAGGACGCTTGTCCGGTCGGCTACTTGCCCCCTCCGGTGAGTACAAATATGAGCCCAGTTTGCCTGATCGAGTTGTTAGTTGCTTGCGTGACCCATCCCTCCCGTTTCCCTAACGACTTCACGCGATGTTGTGAACTCTACGGGAGAAGCGTCTTATTAATCTCGCTGGGGTTTGTTTTTTTTTTGTTAGTTTGTTTTGCAGGATTAAGCACAGTTCTTTTCACACCCGTTTTGGTCGTGGAATGGGTGTTTGGGGTAAAGGTAAATTCATTAATGATCGCCACATTTACAGGTATTTTTTTTTTGTTTGTTTTGTGTGTGTGTGTACTTTGATGTTCGTATCGTTTATTCCACGGTTTCACTTCAGTGACTCACGTGTGACAGTTGATCACGGGATGGAGGAGGTACCGTTAAAATAGCATGGTTCGTTGAGTTATTATCTGCGCCGAAAACAGCAAACTCAAAAGAAACACCGTTTCACCCCTAGCCCGACCGTTTCGCTCGGATACCGTCTCCATCCCTACCGATCGGCAGCGGGCAAAAATATAGTGTAAGAGCTGGTGTGCTATCGTACTGATGTGAGCCTTAGGATCCGTTAGAACGTTAATGCAAATTATCATGTCGCAAATTTCTGGTAATGATGGCTTGAAAGATTGCAACAATTGGACAATTTGCAACGCAATAACGGAAAGGAGAATAGAAATTACTTTTTAAACTATGAAATTTATGTTGAGTGTATTGAATGGAGAGACATCGTTTCTCTTTTTACATTTATTACACCAAGGAATAATATCAATATATTGGTAACAACAACGAGTAAAAAAGATATGTATCTGTGTAAAAACGTTCAACATGCGTTCAGGATTTTTTTTTTTTATGACGTAATAGTTCAAGTATCTTATGATTCGCTAATATAATGAAAGGTCATATCCGGTATTAAAGTTCACCGGATGTTATGTGATTGTTCTCTCAACAATTTATGATGAAGAACAACTTAGAAGCAGATTTAGATTAACTATAAGGATGGTTTTTGGGAGATGTTTGACATTATAGAGGCAGATATATCTGCTCATAACGAACGAGGGAATCTAATTCCTGCAGAAATTAAGCTTTTATTGACTTTACGTTATTACGCAACTGGCACGTTTCAGGAAGCATGTGCGGACCTATATGACATATCACAACCGTCTGCAAGTCGTATCATTAAGCGCGTATCTGAGGCCATTGCTCGACTGAAAGTTCATTAATCGCTGGGGCGTAGCCCGCAGCGACTTAAGGTTTCGCCTCGCATTCTTTTCGGATCTCGGATCTTTAGCCACAAAATTTCAAATTACGTCATTCGTATTCGCGCTGTATTCAAGATGGCCGCTTACAACGAGCGAGTTTAGCCTGACTCGTCCCCAGTCGCTTACCTAAGGCGCTAAGGCGCGATTAATAATGGGGCGCGCTGAATGATGGGAAGACGAAGGGAAGGGAAGCGACTGGGAAATCATAATTCAAGATGGCGGCCGCCGTAATGGCGCACGAGGAGCGAGAAAGAGAAGAATTTTTTTATAGGCCGTTTCACGAAGCGTATCTCACGAATAAAGTTGTGTGCCCGATTGCTGAATGCATGGAAAACTTTCGTTTTTTTCAAGAAAGTGGACTTGCGCAGCATTTTCGCACTGTTCACCACCGACAGATGGTGCCACAAGATTCGAAGAATTCAGCTTTGGCCATGAAACGTATGTTCGGCGAAGAAACTTTAAGATATATAAAATATATCTCTGAGAAGAAATCCGAGGTGGGCTTTTTCGTTATATTTTGCAAATATAAAGCCTTGAGTACAAGTGTATGACGATTTTTTTGTGCGCAAATTAATGCATGTCAAATTGAAATTAATGCGTGTCAAATTGAAATTCATGCGTGTCATATAATAATAATTATGCATATATATTTTATACTCATGCTTTTTTTTCCAACTTTTGAAATCAACCGGTACTTGGTTCAACGTTTCATGTCATGGAAATTCTGATGTATTTGCCCACGATGCAAAGGAAGCCTCCAAAATTTATGGAATGTATTTGCTGCATTCTGGAAATCTAAAGTCATATGCTGACAAGAATAATGCGTGCTCTATCTCAGTTAGGTGGTCTTCAGGAGAAGCACGCTTTAATGCTTGGCATAGCAAGCAACCAATGGAGGCAGGCATCGAAGGAACTGTCGTTGTTGTTGAATGCTGCTATATCAAAAAGGTGCAGTAATTTGAATTATTTTCTCAAAATACTCCACTGAAAGTACTGAACTAGAAATGTGCTGTACTAGATAGAAAACTTTATTTAGATTTAAAACTTTATTTACCCATGCTGACCCTATCAACTGAAACAGACTTCCAAAGAGGGCTTGTCAAAATTAAGAAGGGAAAAAATTATTGAAAAAATTGATGAACTAGCTAGATAGATAGTAGGAATGGTAGAATAGTTATTTACAAGTATTAGAACAAGTAGTCTTAGTTGAGCTTTAAAATGTTGTTTATAGTACTGTGAAATACAGTTCAACACTTGATATTAAATATGCAATAATGACTTCCCATGACTTCATTATGAATTGATATATATGTGTGTGTGAAAGTATAGTTGCCCTGAATTCATGATATGTCATGAATAAATTATTATTCAGACTGTTTCTTGAATTTTTATAGTCCTTGCAAAATCTACCAGCTCAATATCAAATTCATTCTGTTGCGATACAACAATTGCAAGACAACACCAACAATCTATCTATAACTGGTTCTGATGCATCATCTAAGAAACTGAGCGTGTTGCAAACCATATTTGGGTATGAAATGTTCAAGGGCAAACAAGAAGAAGCAATTAATGCTATCCTTTCTGGTAGTGATTGTTTAATTATTCTCCCTACTGGTGCTGGAAAAACAATTTGCTATTCAATTCCAGCTATAATGGCTGGTGGAGTGACTGTTGTTATTTCTCCACTTTTGTCACTTGTGCTTGATCAAGTACAACATTTAAGATCTAAGGGTCTTAATGTTGCATATATCAATTCATCGGTGGCCAATGATGATCGAAATACCATCATGCATAACATGGTATCTGGTAACTCTCCGTATAATTTTGTGTTTGTCACACCCGAGACTGCTGGAACAGAGGAAATGAGAAGTGTATTTCAGAATATGAAAACAAATGGTACGCTGAAATATATTGTGATTGATGAATGCCACTGTGTCGACATGTGGGGATTTGACTTTAGACCAGCATATGCAGAACTCGGAGTTCTTTCACAATTAAAGTGTCCAATAATTGCTTTAACTGCAACATGTACTTCTAGAACTGAAGGTGTTATTATTTCATCTCTTCAAATTACCAGCCCAATCATTGTCAGAGAGACATGCAACCGCAAAAATATTTCACAACTTGTTAAAGCAAAGAAAAGAGATGGTAAAGATCAAGTGGTAAATGAAATTTTGAACGAACACAAAAACAAGTGTGGCATCATTTACTGTCTTCAAAGGTCTGACACAACGGACATGGCATATTTGTTGCAAGTGCAAGGGATTAATGCCACATATTACCATGGTGCGCTTGATCCATTTAAGAAGAAAGAGAACTTCCAAGCTTGGTTGGATGGAAAAGCCATGGTAATGTGTGCAACTATTGCATTTGGGATGGGAATTGACAAACCAAATGTCCGTTTTGTTATCCATTTAAGTTTACCCCAGTCACTGGAAAGTTATGCCCAAGAATTCGGCCGTGCAGGCAGAGATGGAGAAGAATCGACATCATGTATATTTTTTCGTTTTGAGGACCGTACACGACACATGCATATGATTTCCTCATTACCTGAGAGCGACCACCGGGATTTAAAAAGAAGAAAATTGAACGAGGTTATCAAATATTGCATCATACCTAAATGCAGGAAGCTTCAATTGGTCCAATATTTTTCTGAGGATTATAAAGAACCTTGTTGTAACATGTGTGATGTTTGCTTGGGAACATCCAATATGGAACCACAAGATGCTAGCACTGAGGCTCTTGGGTTATTAAGTTGTCTCAACAATATAAGAATTGTTCAAAATAAGGTTACATTGAACTTGTTAATGTTGGTTTACAGAGGGTCTAAACGGAAGGAAGTTGTGAGCAAGTCATTGCACGAAGTTCCAGAATTTGGTCATGGAAAGAGTGCATTTTCTGAATTAGAATTAAAGCAATTCATCTACATGTTGATTGCAGAAGATGTAATTCTAGAAGAACTTAGAGGACCAAATGAAATTGGCTCACATCCATACTTATTGTGTGGAACCAAAGCTGGAATGATAAGTCAAGGTGAACTAATAATTAATAGATATAAGTATGTGAAATAATTGCATGTGCATGCTAACCAAATATATAGAACATTATAATTCAAAGATATGAGCAATACTGGTTACCGGTATACTATAAAGAGTATGTCTGAGAAATAGAAACAAACTTTAACTGGCTGTTAGAATTGCTGCTTGTAATTTCATTTTGACCAAAATAATAATTTAAAATTAATACCCAAGTGGTCGGCAATTCAAGGGCCCAAGTATTTGGACAATATAAAAGTCTCATATTTTTAAAACACTGTAATTTCAAATACTGTTGCCATTTTTGCATAGCCACTGAGGAAATCAGTTTCAGATGGACAGGGGTAAATAAAATAAATTATCTTAATATATGTAATATATCTATTTTTTTTAGTATCATCAAATTAATAAATTGATTGCCAAAAAAGATCCATTCTATTTACAAATGCATAATGTATTCTCTTGCATATTTCTATTGCACTGTCGGATCTTGCAATTATTTGTCCTTGCAATAGTTCAAAAGTATATTATCAGTGAGAGTTTATCACAACATTGAAATACTGTATGGGATGTGTGTACAATACAGATTAATTGTCTTTTAATCTGATTCACTTTCAATATTTTCTTCATCAGACTCATCTACATCTGATTCATTCATTATTCCGTATATGTTGAATAGTTTTCGATTGAAAGTGGCCACAACTTTCCTTTTACCACTTTGATAACAATCAATATTGTTAGCAGAAATTGATGCCTTCTTTGGATCACCAAACTTCTCAACTGTTTTCCTACCTGGAACATAATGAAAGAACCTCCTCCTTAAAATGAAATGTGCTGCCTTGAGTTGATCCGGGAATGGATCTTGCTCTGTGTGTTTGGTTGTGGGATGCACATTGAAGGCATCTCTTGCTTGGAATGATTTCCTTGTTTGGATGAGCAGGTCAATGTTTGCCATAAGTCGTTGCAACATTTGAACTGTTGTATGCCCTTTTAAGGTAGAATAACAATAAAATGATTTTTATGAAATTTTTGAGCAGGGAACAAAGGCCCGCTGTGCAGCTATCTAATTAATTAACTGTCTTATCTTATGACATACCTGTAATGAACAAGAGTATATTAACTTGGTTATCATAGTGGGATAAGTACCCTATGACACTACAATCGATATTATGACTGAATCATCACCTACTTGAGGGTTGTATATAGGATTTAACACATCTTTATAAACATTGCTTTGTGGACATGTCATGAGATAAAGATGATACAAAATAACTAGAGGATGTTTCCATGTTAATGATGGTTAAACATACCTGTTGAGTAGTTTTTCATAGGCTGTACTATGCATGATTCAACCCACTCATCCAGAGCTAAATTATGGCCAATGCGTCCATTTAAACTGATGGAACAATTCTTTCGCAGCAGCTCTCTTGTAGCAAGTGGCCACATGGCAAAAAAGTTCACAATGTGTACCATAGCCTCTGTGTGATAGTTCCGTTTGTTTGATTGGGCAAAAAGAGGCTGCATAATCATCCAAGATGCCTCTCGTGCAACTCCATTGCCGTATATAATTGCATCACAATACATTTGTTGCAATGGGCCAAACAAAGTGACCATCTGTGCATAGTACTTAAAAGTTGCATCTTCACTATTGTCACTTATCCACTGCTTGAACTTGGATAATAATACTGTAGTGTGATTGCCAGTTGACCTTTTGCACTTAAGCAACTCATCTGCATCAGGAAATGAAGTGGAGTTTTTAAACTCCATCACCATTGCTATTCCAAAAGCAGCCCCATTATCACGCACAGCTTCTTCGATACGATTAAGGTTTTGTTCTTGGAATTTCTTTTTACCAAAGCTTTCGTTGGTTATCTTCTTTCTCAAAAGAACATTTTGTAGAATGTGCATAAAACCACCAGGAGACATTACTTTCTTGCAAACTTCGTATACGTATCCTTTTGCATGCATGTCACCAGGAACTTTTGCACACCAACCATATGCTGCATTGGATCGACTTTTTACACCACGGACATTTTTGTTAGTCCCCTGGTCACCAACGGTCAATGTTATACATGATTTATTACTCCTTTTGTATTCATATGTTTCCTCTTTATCTTCTCCTTCCATAGGATCAGAGACAGAAGTACATGTCGCAGTGTTTGTTGTTTGTTTAGCACACTGGAATGTTTTCCATATTTCACCATCGTCAACACTATCTTTATGTGAAATTTTCTTCATCAGGTCAACACCATCCATTTCCATTTTTGTAGCAATCTCCATTGGATTTGGTATATTAGTGAAGAACCGGCTGTCAAAAATTGCAAAGTTGTCTATGAGAAATTGTGCCATTTCTTTATCTTTTTTGACCACCGCAATTGTTAATGGTGTAGCACCACAAAGTTCTTTGGCATTTATGTTCACACCTGCCGAAACAAGAGTTTTCACTAATGGCAGATTTCCGTTTTCAACTGCTGCGTGAAAAACGGTTCTTCCAATACTATCTCTAACATCTTCCCACAGCTGTCAATTACTATCCAACCAAGAAATAAATTGGTGAAATTTGGATGGGTCATGGTGTTGTTGGGCTTCCCACATTCTCTGAACAAGTCTATCAAAAATATGTTTGAATTCTCCATCCATCTTTTGTTGGCTTCTCGTTCCATTGGAAGTGTCTGAGTTTAATACTGTTTGTGATGATGGTAGCTCAAATGCTTTTTCCGCTTCTCGTAACTGCTGAACTGTTTTAGTCATTGTTGACTTGTGCTCATGTAAGGAAGAAATAAATACATGATGCTCTCGTGCTGCTTTGAGGTCAAATGTTTTGCTCCTGTCATCAAAAGGTAAATATACTTTGGCATGATCACAGGGTATGTCAAATTCCTTTCCAAATTCTTCCAAGATTGCTGCAGTTCCTGTGGTGGTGGAATTATCTTCCAGTGATAGCGGAAGTATTAATGTTTCCGACTTTGTACAGTTTGGGTTAGGCCTAATACTAAGTGGAGGTATAACAATGCCATAGTCAGTTGTTGATTTGCTAAAATTTTTCAACCAGTGATCAAATTCTTTTTCATCCATATTAACAAAATCTTTCTCTGAACTTGGAATACAATTTAAGCTTGTATTAAGTAGCTTCAGCAGGAAGTTATCTTGAACCTCATTCCATAATTTCAAATGTTCCTTATTTGTTTCTACAAGTAATTGAAATATATAAATGTAAAAAGGAAATAGATTTGGTATCATGCAGAGGCAGAAGTCAATTTAGGCCTGGGTAAAGGGCAACAAATATTTATTTAACTTGTAATCGTAAGAACCTTTTTTCATGTACTGGACTGTTGTACTGTACACATGACTTTTATTTATTACAACCACAATTTTGATTGTAATTTACATGCAGCGCTTACCTATGAAAGTATCCCATGCAGTAACTTTATCCTTTTGTTGTTCTTCAGCGGTTTCTTTTTCATTAAACAAATGTTCTATTGTTGTCAGATCTGGAATAGCTAAGCCACGAACTGTGAAATTCCACATTTTTGGACCAAGTACTTTAAATAGTCGATGATGAGTCCTATTTCCATGATACATATTTATGTTGTCTATCAACAAAATGATTGGCTTTGAAATAGGTGCACACTCCTCAATTAAACTTTGGAACTGTGCCAATCTTTTGTCCATGAATGAAATTCTAGGTAAATATATAAAATTTGTGATTTAATCACAAATATTTCTGCTCAATAAACAATATACAATCTTATATAAAGGGGATAATTATGTAACCTTACATGGTCTGTAGTATCTATGATCTATCATGTAGAAACAATTAGCCAGGGTCATTTGTGTACTTCAATTCCTTGACCAATATTTTTCACAAAACCTGTTTTGGCCATTAGTTAGGAGGGGAGGAAAGCTCAATATCTCCAGTCCTTTTAGCACTCTGCTCTCTCAAATTGTAATTTTGTTCACTTTAAAAAAGGTGCTATAAAGCTGACTCTTCCATAGTCCCCAACAAAGTGATGAAAATTGATGCAACGCCTTAGGTAAGCGACTGGGGACGAGTAGGCTATAAAGTTCATTTTACGCATAATATTGACATTTCTAATATTAAATAAACACAATAATGAAGTCAATACACTGAATAATTGCCATATTCCCAGCTATTATACTCACATAGTGTTCCAATGTAAAGATAGTCCAATTGATTGAAGCATATCAATAAATTGTTTTCCTGCACCAAATGTTACACAAAGAAGCCCAAATATTAGTGGAAAACAATTTCTTGTTCTTTGGTTTCTGATATTGCTGATAATTCCAAGCATATGCACACCACATACCATCTTATGTGTGTTTGTCTTCAATAAATTTCTGCTTGCTGGGTTGGAAATCACTAGACTCTGTACCATGCTGTATATTAAAGGGCATTTTTCTTTTACTGCCTCCAAAGTCTCTTTAAAAAGTGATGCATCAATGGTGTCAGACACATTCAGTACAGAAGACCCACGAATTTCAGTATCACAAATGTCTTCAAATTCCTTCATTTCTAATTTGATTGTGTGCTTTTGTTTATCGGACAATGTATTATCAGGAACATTGTGCTTCAATTTCTCAATTTCTTCCTTAAACAGGTTGATGACATTGTTAATGTGGACTTCTCGCTTCCGTGATTCTTTTGCATAGTCTGCCAGTTGACCAGATATATCACCACCTTCATTATATTTTGATACAATGGATGACCATATTTGGCTTAAGACTAAATCTGAAAGCTCCAAGTTTGTAAGCAGATTTTGAATGTCATCTATATGAATTAAAAGTAGAAAAGAATAAAACACTGCACATGAATCATTATCTCAAAGCATGCTTTGGTATGCTTGTATATATCTGAAAATGAGTACCCACTAGATATATTGCAAATTGAACTTCACACATTTGTAAACAAGCCTCACCTGAAAACAACAAGGCTGATAAAATGCTTCAAGCAAATAGACCTCTTCAGCTTGTATGAAAATTAACCCATTTCAAATCACCTGGTCCAAAATGGTTATTTATTGGCTATTCCATGGTCACAACATCTGAAATGGGTTAATTTGCATGCAAGCCAAAATGGTCTATTGGATTAGAGGTTTCATTTGTAACAGATTTGAGTGTAAATTCAATTTGCAATTTACATGGGTTGATCATTGCAACATTGCAGCTCAATATATACAAATATATATAATTATATCTAATGGAGTATATTTATACCATTTGCTTCAATCTCATCATGTCTAACATCAGAAAATTGATGAGCAATACCCTTCTCCTGTAGGTTCATAAAAAACACTCTTTAAAATTCATCAGTTAAGAAAAAACTTTTCAATTTGTCATGTAAAAAATGATTATTTTATAACTGGCAAGACAATGTACAACAAGCAAAGTTGCACTCATGCTGCATGCAACAAAATTCAGCAGTTTAAAGCACTGGCTGACTAATGGCAGGCTGATGTTACTGTCTTCAAAAGCCTGAGAGCTTAATATTGTAATAAACTGTTTAATTATATGGCTATAGATTTAAATGTATGAAAAGGATACTGTTTTTTGTTATCTTTTCTTTCCCTCTTTATGTAGACTCCAGGAAATGCCTCTTTTACTGTTCGAGTTAACATTGATTTTGTGATAGTATCATCCCCTAGATATGCCACAACTGTCTCATAAGGTGTTTGACTGTTGTCGTGCAATTCAAACCCCTCTTTTAGAAAAAATGTAGCGGCCTTCCTTCGATCTGTTCGTTGTTTCCCTGATAGAAATTTTCCTGAACAATTAAATTTAATATTATAACATGTTAAATTATATTTAATATTAAAAATCGAATGAAGCAATCGTGCAAAGCACGCGTTAAAGTTTGTTCAAAGAGATTTATGTCTTCAAACACATAAAAGTATTTAACTCACCAACACAAACTTTCTTCGACTGTGGCAATGGAGCTTCCTTTGAGGATGGAGTCAATGTATGCTTTCCTTGCGTTGGACTCTCTACCGTTACGCTGCCTTCTTCTTGTAATTGTATAGGCGTGCTAGTTCTCCGTTTACCAGGATCTGTTATTACGAAAAATAAAAAATCACTATATAATACATATTATGCAGCTTATGCAAAATATTGCGACAATACACAGAAAATATGCAAAAATATTACGTCAACACTTACCATAATCCTCGTCATTCAACGATAGGTTTTGCATAGACGTCTCCAAATCCTCTTCTGAACCCGACCACATACTTTCTAAATATTGCAAAGGCAAGCTCTCGTCCAAATCTTCGCTCATTTTTAAAATTAATACATTTGCCGAGAAATTGACCGATTTGCCAAGAAACAGACACAATATTTCACAGTCCCTAACAAATAGCCTCGGGGCATTCCCATGATCCTTTGCATCATCAATTTTCATCGCTTCGTTAGGGACTGTGGAAGAGTCAGCGAGTTTAGCATCAATTTCAATTACAAATTAGCATCAATTTCAACTTGAAATAAAGGACAAAAAGTTCAATTTTACAAAGAACTTTGGAACGGCAACATTTGGCTCGCGCAAACTGCTGTTTATTTGGATGCTTTTCTCTGTGGCTCTTGCTGCAAATATAAATACTGTTACGGGTATTGATATTAATATTAAACATTGATAATACTGTCATCTCGGCAGCATTTGGCTTGCGCAAACTGCCGTTTATTTGGATGCTTTTCTGTATTACTCTTGCTGCAAATAATACTGTTAAGGATATTGATAATACTGTCACTTGGCTCGCACAAACTGCTGTTTATTTGGATGCTTTTCTCTGTGGCTCTTGCTGCAAATAATACTGTTACGGGTATTGATATTAAACATTGATAATACTGTCATCTCGGCAGCATTTGGCTTGCGCAAACTGCCGTTTATTTGGATGCTTTTCTCTATTACTTTTGCAAATAATACTGTTAAGGATATTGATAATACTGTCACTGTCATGGTGTAGCGCCTAACAAGACGGCAAGAGTGTAAGACCGAAATACAACCACAGTGATCATCATTAATCACTACGTGTGAATTTTAAACTTTGTTACTGTGGCTCCAATGACAAGCAACTGCTCCAAAAGCCGCTTCGCCGCGATTGTTGTAAAAGCAGAAGGAGAGCTGCTCTATTTAAAAATGTTCGATTCTGTATTACAAGCTTTCTTCCCCAATTACGACAACATGACAGATGCACAAGTTGCTGAACAACTTTTATTGGTAGACAATATCAGCCTAACATACGACCCAGGAAGCCGTACTATAACTGCAATGACTGTTCAAGTTGATACCAGTGAAGCTTAATTAACATGAGCCTATAAACAGAGGTAAATTACGTTAAGTATTCCTGAGAGAAACTTCCTAGTTCCTATTTTAATTTCTTGATTTCCTGTTCTGAATGTTGTCATGTTAGCTAATTGCAATGTATAACAGAACAGGAAATTAGGAACTTTGTAAATTCCCTCAAGCAATTTTCAAGTAAGTTCTTCAAGGAACACCTTAGTTGATGTAGTTTACCTGTAATTAGTGTAATAGATACAGTAACGAACATCCAGTTTGACTGAGAACTCTCAGAAAAGTTGTTTTTCTTTACTTTTTGTTCTGTTTTGTTTACTGTGAACAATACTATTTTAGTTTGTCACAATATATATCAACAATAATACTGTAACTACTTGTGTTTGCCTTTTTCAGAGCTAACTCTGTTTAGGTAGTAGCCAGTTGCAACACAATCTGATTTAAATGCATGTCAGTTTGCAAAATCTGCAAATGCAAAATCTGATTTAAATGTAATTGGATATTTTGGCTAACTTGATTTGGGTGTTGCAACTTTTACGTGAATATTTTTAAATAACATGCATTTAAATAAGATTTTGTTGCAACTTGCTGCAACTTTGCTGCTTGTATTACTGTACTTCACATTAACTCATCAGAAAAATATTTGTCCATTGTATCCAATGGACATTACAGAAGTGAATATATTAGCTTCATTCATTGTTTTTTATTCTGTTTTGTTTATATTGCACAAGGTTCCTAGTAATAAATTGACAATAATTGCAAATGCATTTACATGCTTGTGACTTCTGTTAAGCTCATGTTAGAATGTAAGGCAACTGTATCACAGTCAGGGCACAGGGTACTCTTCATAAAAGCGAAACAGGGAAATCGGCTGACACTTAAGTACAAATGTTCATCGTACTGTTAATTTCTGCCCAAGCTTGGGAACTACTGGTTCACCCCCCCCACCCCCCGCTCACCTTCAAAACCTGAGCTCTGGTGCTGAGTTGTATCTGTCGGGTTCCCTTACGCTATTTTGCAAATTGCTGTACATATCTCATTTTTTCATGTTCTTGATCATGAAAATTAGTATCCTCTCCGGCTTCGGGGCGGTGCACATCTCCCAGTAAACCTATCCATCCCATCCCTAATTCCAATGACACTCAAAATAATATATTTGCCCAATCACCTCTACCACTGTCAAAATGTGTTAGTATAGGTAATAGCATGGTTTCGAGTGCAATTACGGATAAACAAGCACAAGTGAGTATTTTAAAGACTGATTTCTAGTCTTTAAAATACTCACTGTACATCTTTAACTATATTTGCATCAGAAACCAAAAGATGATCTACAGTCTGGTCTGCGCATCGGTTCTGCTTATAATAAAAGCGAGACTCTTAATATAAACATTGCCCAAATTTCGCATCTTTTGAACTTCTTCAGAATTAAAACTCTGGTTTATATTCATTTACAAGCATAGCAAACCAGAACAGTGTAAGATATTCAGTTAGTATATCATATTTTACAAATACAGCAGTTCGAAATGTAAACAAAGCATTTGTTTACTTCCCGGACTGAAAAATATAGATGAAAAAATTTGCACTCTTACCTTCGCTACTTAAGTATTGTCTTTTTTATGATATGCTCGTTGCATTCTCAACTTATTAATTTCCTCCAAAACTTTCAAAACAAAATGTGAAAAATTCAGATATTCGTTCCCAGGCTCTGTTGACTGTTCTAGTTCTGCTCCCAGTCCCAGTTGCAATTTGTATAGGTAATTGCACTCCTTTTTAGCCAATCAGCACACAGGCGGCCCAATCGCGGGTAGAGTGGTTTACTAAAACTATAGATATAGTAATACTATATGTACAATACATTAAACATTATATAATTCTGTCTGTGATGTATATATTTCAAATATAATTTATCTACATGTACCTTGGATGTTCTCATTTTATTCCTGCTGTGTTCCGTCGAAACTCACGCTCTGTAGTGGTAGGTACATGTAGATAAATTCTATTTGAAATATATACATCACAGACAGAATTATATAATGTTTAATATATTGTACATATAGTATTACTACATCTATATAGTATTAGTAAACCACTCTACCCGCGATTGGGCCGCCTGTGATCAACCAGATTTCTGGGCTAGCTATGCTAATAATGTACAATAATGATCCCCGAGAAACCTTGTGAACTTAGAGTATCAAATCCCTATTTATTAAACTTTAAACCTCAAATGTGCTGGATTACTCATGACATAATTACAAGCATACTTCACTGGCTTTCTTCAGGTCCTTGTGTAGAGCTTTAGTTTTCTGAGTACGTTGACTCAGTTTATACTTATTGACAATATCTTTAGCAAATGAAAAAAATTTGACAGTAACAGATAGTTTCACTACATTTTCTATTAAAACATAAACATTGACATTCTTTTGAAATTCGTACATAACAGTTTTGAATAATATTGTTCCATAAGCTTTTAACAAGAGGGGAAGTTAATACTTCATTAACTATGATATCTACTGGAAGAAAAGTAACCTTGTCTTTATTTGTACTCTTTCTGAATGCCAACTCAGCTACCTCTGCAATACTGACAATCCATGTCCAATCCAGAGGTGCCCAAAGTCCACCTCTTCATAAAGACGGTAGTGTAGCAGCTTCAATAAGGTTGTTTCAGACTCTAACCAGGGTAGCAAAGGTAGCGAATCAATGAACTTTGAAGAAACCCGGTTTAATATTACTAACATTAAAATTATCATATCACTCGTTACCGTTGGCGTTTTTAGTATATGTAAATTTTCATTCAAGGGAGTAGAAATACTGCATGTTATTTTGAAGAATATGTTTGAAATGCTATAGCGTGGTGTAACTGTTAGCTAATATATTGGATCAAAGATGTCTCCATAAATCAAAGATATAGACAGTCTTGTCGAATACCGTATTTACTCGTTTGAGCGCCGCGGCGCTATTTAAATTTTTAGAACTTCAGATGCGGCACTTAATCGAGGGCGGCGCTCAATCGGGGGCGGCGCTCTTTAAAAAATATTATTTGTGAATTGTAACAAGAACTTTAAACAAAAATAATTAAAAGTTAGATGTAGCCAAATATCCCCATTTAGACATTTTACAGAAAACAAACCTCACACAAATCACTGGAATCTCTGCCGTCACGACTGACCTGCGCCTTACGAAAATTTTAAAGACCGATTCAGGCAATAGCGTCTTCAACAATTCTGACGGTGCGTCGATTAAGCGCCAAATTTGAAAATAATTAGTGCGGCGCTCATTCGGGGGCGGCGCTCTATAAGAAAAAATATCGCAAATGCGGCGCTCATTTGGGGGCAGCGTTCAATCGACTAAATACGGTATATGAATATGAGCGAGATATTAGTGATCTTAGAAATGAAGTTTATATACGTATGCAATCGTGAGCAATAAAAACTATATTTATACCGGGTGGCGCAAAACTGAAATGTTCCCCCTCTTAGACTTATTGTAATTAAAAAACTAATACAGATATCTTATTCAAATAAAGTTTGTTGAATGCAGTAATGTCTAACTTAAATTTTGATATATGTCTTGAACATTTCTGTACAATATTAGTCGAGATCGAGCCGTTTAAAATAAAGGTGCAGTTTTTGACGAAGCGAATAACATGACTAAATATCGCGACTCAACTAAGTTATTTTCAACTTCCACGATAGGTGTTTTTTAAACGTTCTTTTTCATGTATGTTAGTGTCTTTCATGTTTAAAGATTCTTATAAGTAATATCATGACATGAGGGAAATTAGCGATTAAATGCCCCGATAAAATTACACAAACCTCCCGAGCCCGAGGGGGCATTTAATCACTAATTTCTCTCATGTCATGATGTTAGTTTGTAATATCATGATCAGCGAATGTGACGTAGCGTATAATTGGTTTTATGTATTGTTAAAAATTCATATGTGTGCATCTCATTGCTTGCATGCTTGCTCATGCTTACAGAAGCGGGCGAATTATAAATCGCCTGCTAGAGCGGGCGAATTAGGAGTTAAAGGCCCGGTCTAAACAATAGAACCCGAGCTGATCATGATATTATCCCCGAGCCGGTGCGGAGCACCATGCG